TTTTTTTTCTTTGGTTTGTTTGATTTGGGCCTTTTCCTTTGTTCCAATAGTAGGGTTTTTTTTTGTGTGTGTGTGTCACTGTGTGTGATGCCTATCTAGTGGGTTGAGGTAATAAATAATTTTTTCGATCTTTAAATTATGCTCAATACTTAAAAGTGCCAAATTAATGGTTTTTTTAAATTTTATTTTTATATGAAGATACATACCAGTTGATGTTATTTGAAAAGTATTATCAAAGGGCACTTAATTTCATTCATAGTTGAGTCGTGAATTCGGTTATAAAAAAAAAAAACTTAGTTCTTGGTGATATTTGCTTTTAAGTCTTGATCTTGTGGAATGAAAAATCATCAGTGATGGCCTAATGGTCTAGATTTGAAGATATAATCTTCTTAGTTACTTAATGGCACAAAAAGTTTCTTAGTAGCATAACAAGTTTTACATGCTTTTTACATGTTCTCACTCGATTGATGTTTGTTAAAGAAAACATTGAAACTTACACTCTTTGTTGCATCAGTCAAAACATATCGAACTTTTGAAAATTTGTAAGTTTCATTCCATTTTTTTCTTTGATACCACCATTATTGATGTTATTTGAAAAATATAGGAGGCAATTTGGTGACTTTTAAATGTTCACTTCATTTTTTCTTTAGTAAACTGTTCTCTTCAATTTTTCTTTTTTATTTTGTGTAATATATTTATTATTCAGGTTTATAATTGTTAGATACTTTATATATTTTTATGTTTTTGCAGCAAGCATTTCTTGAAGATGTCAGACATGGAAGAAAGTGGATATGAAACCCAACCAACTTCAAACTCTTCAACTTGTTTTGAGGTAAATTGTAAAAAAAGGAAAAAACCCTATAAGACTACATCTTTTGTTTAGGACCATTTTAAAAAAGAATTGTTGGAGGACGGATCACACATGAAAGCCACATGTAATTATTTTCACAAACCATATAATTGTCCGAGTAGTCATGGTACTACTAACCATAGTAGGCACCTTAATGAAGTATGTGAAGTTTTGTTACAAGAAATTATATTCATCGGAAGAGGTGGATGAGATCATTGGAAAGGTGAAGAGTTTGAAGGAGAGGCTTTTCAAACACTACAAATCATTGGAAATAACTTCCCCTGTAGGCTTGGGTGCTCATTTAGCTCAAAACCTTGAAGATGTTTATGTGCCCAATGAAAAAGAAGATGGTTTGGAAGAAGACAGAGATTGGAAAAAAATTTTGAGAGAAGAGGAAAATGAGGTGGCTAAATCCGAATTGGATAGATACTTGGAAGATAGTGTGGAAGAAGATCAATCAAATTTTGACATTTTAAGTTGGTGGAAGGGAAAATCTTCTACATGCCGTGTACTCTCTCTTATGGCCCGGGATATTTTGGCCATTCCCTTGTCAACGGTTGCTTCTGAATCTGCTTTTAGTACGGGAGGTAGATTGCTTGACAGATTTCGAAATTCTTTAACTCCGAAAATTGTTGAAAGTTTGATTTGTGCTCAAGATTGGCTAAGAGCTTCACCTAATCCAGTTGAGATTGAAAAGACGTTGGAGGCTCTTGAGGTTGTCGGACAAGGTAATGAATATTTTAGAAATTCAAATCCTATGTATTGAATACTTAATTTGTCCCCTTTCTGTTTAGACTGTCTATATTTATTTATATTAGGATGATTATTGTTGATATTGCTCTCGAAGGTAAAACACTAAAACCCCAAAGCACATTTTTTTAATTATCCTTTTTCTACTACACTGCTGATTTTGATGTTGCAGGCTGATAATTCACATTTTATAATCTTATTACTCATGGTAGATCTGCATATTTTTTTGCTAAAGATATATATTAGTATATATGTACAAGTAAATACTGTTAATTCTTGTATAATTACCCTTTTGCTTGTCCATATATGTATAAATTATACAGTATAATAGGAGAATCTTACATACTTTTAATTTGCATTTTGTAGGAATTGCTGATGGTTTTGAAGGTTAGCCATTCCGTGAATAGTTGGCAATTGAAAAAAGAAAAGTTAGATGGAGTTGCAGTTTTGAAAAAAAAAAATCCGGGACATCTACCAGGATGCTAATGAGGACACAGGACGAGCCATGAGAAAATCTTTTGTAAGACTGCTATTGGCTTATATTTGATACATTTATTGGTTTTCTTTTCCACTGATTTATCTTACTTGTGCTATTGAAGAGTGTACTTTTTGTGTTCTACCTTGTGTTGAGCATTACTGTTTCACAAATCTCCATCCCAAGTAGTAAATATTATTTATTTTGTGGGTGCTACCCTACAGTTCGAGTCAAATGGAACGGTGTTGTCAAGTAACTAGAAAGAAGTGGGTTCAAAGAAGGTTGAAGGAAGCCCTCCGGATGGTGTTGTTTGGTCCAGTTGGATTTTATATTTTTTTGGGTGTGAAAAATCTCTCTTTTGGCATACTTACCATAACATGTTGCTTGATGTTTGAATTTGTTCATAATTTTATTGGAATCAAAGTGCACTCTACTTTGTCTATAATATCATTTTATATGTTGAAAAGGTATTTATGTGCTTAAGGCAGCCTTGGACTTTACTTGATTATGTCATTGAAGGTCAGAGGAATGTTTGTGGATGTTTCTTTAGTGCAACTTATATATTAAAACTTTTTTCTATTGTTTAACGCACTTCATTAATGTGCTATTTACAAGTCTATTATTTTATATTTGTGGGAAAAAGTAGCATAAAGTTTGAACTATACTACCCAGATTACATACATCATACCATGGCATTTTCATTATTGAAATTGTTATAATTAGAGGGGGGGCAAGCTTGAAACTGAAAGATATGGGTTTTGATTGTTTGAACAATCTGAAATGATATGCCGAAATGGGTTTTGAACTTTTGATTCTTGCAGACAGATGGATAAACTGAAATATATGGGTTTTGAACTTTTGATTCTTGTAGATTTTGTAGTTTGCGGTTGCGGGGGGGGGGGGGGGGGGGGGGGCAAGTTTGCAGTTGAAAAATATTTTGTTTTTTGGTTTAGTAACTAAAAATATAATCAAAAATATATATATATATATATATAATTTTTAAAAAAAAAATCAACCCGTGAACCCGACCCGACCCGCTCGAAAATATTTGGTTCGAGTTGTAACCCAACCCATGTTGGGTGCAATTCGGATTGGCCCAACCCAACCCGATTTCGAGTTAAGGTTGGGTTGGGACTGGGCTGGGTTGGGCCAGCCCAACTTGCAGCCCTACCTGCAACACTTAGCTGCCTCCATCTTTTCTCTGTCGAAGACCATTCTCAACGACGCTGTGGAATAATGTCTGAAGAAGCAGTGTGATTGGACTTAGGCAAAGGCTGTGGGCTGGGCTTGTCGTTTAAAAAAGAAATAGTAAAGTTGTTATTAGGCCCCCGAGAAACAACCCTCTTAAACTCCTTAATGGCTTTTGGCCCATGGAATGTAAATAGCTCTTTGTCCAGCCCGTTATCCAAAGACTGCCGAGATTTAGGCCCAAACTTAGTCCCGTCATTAACTTTGGCATGAAAGGCGCCTGTAATGCCACGTGTTCTATTACAAGGCTGGTGGCTAGTTGGGCGATCAAAATGAGGATTTGATTGGCACTGTTTAAGGGCGTTATGCACACTACCCGGGATTCTGCTTTCCCTATACGCGGCCGGCGAGTGAAGAGGCACTTATCACTGTCCTTGAGAATTAAGACGGATTTGCATATGCCGGCGACGCCTTCCTTTGTTTGTTTCGTCGATCATAAGATGAGAGCCCTCATCAACTCCATAATAGGACTTCGGGAGGATGCGAGGTGAGATTTCCTCCATTAGATTGACCTTAAATGCCAGACTCTGGTCTTCAACATAAACAAACTCCAGTACCCTACCTCCAACAGAGACGTAAAGGAGAACTCTCTCACCTCCCACCAAATCATCCGCCTCCACACCTCTAAATCCTCCGCACAGATCACCAATACCTTCGAATAGTTTCTGACACCAGAGATGAAGAGGTAAGCCGTGAATCACCACCCTTCTGATTTCATGATTTTTCACTACTAAACATCCCACTGCAAAGTACCAAACATCGATAGCTAAAGTGGTGTCTCCCCAACTCTTCTTCCCTAAATCTAGAACACGTAAAGCCTCAGCCTCCGAAGGTAGCCTGAACAGCAAGGGGCCATCTGGTAGGGATGATACCTTCACCCCGCTCGAGACCTTCCAAACCTTCGTTGCCCATGTTGCGATCCCCTCGATACAGCCCACTTCGCGATCAAAACGGCCAACCAAACAAGATTTTAGGGCAACTTCTCTTTTCGTAATGCTTTTATGATCAACCCTAAAAACCATGTCTTTGCCGATTGTGCATCTTTTAATCTCACCATGGAAGTTGAGGCGAGGAAGTGTCACAACATTAAGATACGATCGTATCATAACACAAGAAACCCAAAGAACCCGCCCCAGAAAAGAAAAAATTAATAGACGCTGGAGTAGAAGACTCCGGCGACAGGAGTGGCAGAGAGAGGAGAGAAAAGTCAACATGCGGTCTCTATACGAATTTTTTTCTTCCCACCAGATTGTTAATCCTTAATTATGAAAAAAAAAAAAACAGATTGGTAATCCTTTGTTAAAAGTTTCCAAAAGGGTACTACATTAGGTAGCCTTTTCTTCCTGTTTAACACTTAAAAAAATTTCTAACCAAAAACTGCGGTATTTCTTTTAACTAATGGCACGTTAAAGGATTTTCTAGTTTGTTTAGTGAGTTCAGGTCGTACCGTGGTCTCATCTTAGGCTTGAAGCTAAAAAGGTTATGACTTACTGTTGGTCCCACCAATGCAGTGTGCAAAGACAGCTTGACTCAATACAGCCTAAACTTCGGCATTAACTTGATTCTACCCATCCGAATCCCACGGATTCCTACATCAGCATCATTCCTTTTCCAGACTGACGTGTGTAAGCATTCTAACTAAGCAATTAACATTCATCCTCAAAAAAGATAACACACCTCTTCTTCTGCAAGTTTGACTAACCGCTCCTCTTGCTGATCCCATTTCCGAACAATCACCTGTTGCACCGCCATGATAAAGGAGACAGGTCAGTCCTGCATACACGATATCATAGACAAACAACACATTCTTAAAAAGTGACCGACATGATTAAAAGTGCAAAGAAGAGGCCTTAGGAAATTTAAATATGCCAATGTGTAATTTGATATTTAATGGTCTTTATCTAATATATTCATGGTTAACACAACAATATATCAACTGTATCATACAATGCTGGTGATTCTGTCGATACTGCTAAAATGACAATTTGCTGGCTTACCCATAATGTCGAAACATGGATTTAAAATAATTATGCATCAACAAATGAACACATGAATTATCTGCACAATGCTCAAATTTTAATTTTTCTTATGTTAATTCTAAATCAAAATACAAAAATAGCTAAAGACTTCTTTTTTAGTAATTAATACTTTAATTCCTCGTGAGGAATAAAATCACTGTTAAATTTTTTAGCAATGTCCAAATCTTAAAATTCACAAACGACATCCACATCACAAGACAGCTGAAATTCTTTGAATTATAGGGTTGATTCCGGAGTGTAACAAACAAATGAAATGTTCATGGATTGGTTCACTTAAAAAAATACAATAAACAATAAATAAATAAATAAAAGAGAAGAAGAAGGCACTAAATCATTTAAGCCCATTGATCATTTTAAGAGACTATCCAAACCACAAGAAATTGTGGTTGTACTGAAATTCAAATCTCATCCTCCATCTTTGTTAATGCATCTTTTCTTTGGATAATTTGTGTCCTCATGCATTGGCATTGACGCAACCACAATAAAACAAAATGTAAATTTAAAATCTTAAAAATCAAACAATTTCAAAACACGATACATGTGAGGCAACAATGTTGTAAACTCAATAAGGTTAATGAAGAAACAATATTTCTCTGAAACCTCCGAGGGGCTTGAATCAATAAAGAAGCCGGTAATTGGTGAGAACTCATTCCCATCCCTGCATGGGGAAAAAGGAATTTATATAACTAACCTGCAAATTAACATGATAAAGAGAGGAAAAAAAGAAGAAGAAGAAGAAGAAGTAAGCCATCATTAAAGGCATCGCCCATCATTAAGGCGAAAAAAAATGTGACAAGCAGAACATGAACCAAACTGAATACAAAATGTGGTGTCCAACTATTGATAACTTAATGATTCAAAACAGCACTTTATCATGCAAATCTCTTATAGCAAAGCATCACTACATTTATTATACTAATCTAATCATTACTAATATGCTGCATTCCTCATGTGAATAAGTGTTTACACATGTATATTAGGATTTACCTGTCAAAATATTTATGCTAAGTTCTGTTCTTGATACTTAAGACATGGCCTCCCAACTTCACAATTTATTTAGAGATTAATCAGGATATCACTTATTTTCAAACAGGAAAACACCAATTTGTCACATTTCTATCTTATGAAACACAAATGTAGAAGAAAAAAAAAATAAGCCAAACTACACACAGTTATATTCAATGGCATATAAATATCAAAATGTCATATTCTCAGGTGTTTAAGCATCAACAACCACATAAATCAAGTATTTAAACATTCCTTGCAAAGGAGACGTAAGTCAAATAAACTGCTAAATGTTGACTTCTTTTCTCAAGATTCCAAAAAGTTATTTAGAAAACCAAAATGTAACTCAAGGTTAGAATAGTCCAACACCCTATGTCAAAGGGATGACAACCAGAGATTATGGAAAGAGTTCAAACATTCACTAGTGGCGAACTGCTGGCTAAACTTGTACACCAAAAAGAGGTAGAACTTGATTAAACATTCTGTCAAAGCATTTAACACAAACATGAATTTAAATACAAGCAAACAAAAAGAAAAAGAAAATATTTCCATACATAAATCGGCCAGAATAGAAAGGATAGATAGATGGATGGATGGATAGGTCGATAGATAGATAGAGATAGGGAGATCAATTATGCCACAAAGAACATTATGAACCAACAAATTCACAAAAAATAAAAAATAAAACTTGATCAATGTGAAATTTTAGGAATGTTACCTATTTGATGAACTGTAGTAGACAAAATGATGACCAGGAGGAATCATCTTGATACCCATAAAAGAAGGTCCCACAGAGAACATCTGCGAATGTAACAAGGAGGAAATTCAACAATAAGAACTTATTAATAACATCATTTTTAAGTACCAAAACAAATATCAGCACAAAGAGAAAGAAAACAATATAAGTAAACGAAATATCATGTCGCAAGAAAGCAACTCTGACACCAAAGCTTCATGAGAAATATCTTCAACTAACAGAGAGTTGGGTAAAACGCACATGTAATGATTGAACCAAACCATATTATATATATATATATATATATATATATATAAATCTGAATGGAATAGTTTAAGATATGCACTTGAGGAAAAAGGTCATCTGGTCAGTTCAATGCGGAGTGTTAGCCAGCCAAGAAGCAACTTAATGGGACAAAAAGAAAAAGAAAACGAAAGGACAAAATAACTAGCTTAAGATGTTCAAATGGCGACTCTGGTGACATAGGAGAAGAAAACAAGAGCAAATGCATTTTTAAGAACATGGAAATAGCAGTAGCACCAACAGAGGACAATAAGATAAATTTAGTCCTTTCAGATTCGGCCTAAACAACGTGTATAATTTCAATGATGCCAAATTAGAGCAGATATAATTTTTCCGTATTGACACTCACTCAACCACAAAAGCATGGGAAGGGCGGCACTTCTCATCTCATCCTTCATGTAGCATATTGTAGGGCAACTTAAAGGAAAATCAGTTCCTTCAAATTTGTTATCTTACTGAAACGACATTAAATTTTTTTAAAATAAAATAACAATGGCTGGAAAGTAAGTAAAAGAAAACGGGAAATGACATGTAGAATATAAACTTTTCTTTACTCCCAGTCATCCAAGGTAATTTTTGTTGCATAATCTTTCCTTCTATTTCACTAAATTCACAAGCCAACGGAGCCTATTAGGGAAGATACTGGTATTCAAAAATTATTCAACACCACAAATATTGTATTTGAGCCATTTGATAACATTTCAGGCATATTTTAGAGAAAAATCCATAATGCTGGGAAATAATTTGAGAAAACAGGCCTAATAACGTGTCTTCATTGCCTTGATTAAAATAAATTCCAGTATCTTATTAAAAAATTACTTGGATATATAAAAATAACAGTGTTTGAGTGAGAAAAGGTATACATGACGAATTAAATAAAGAAATTTGTATATTTCAATTCCATTATTAATTAGTTATTGGCATATCAAATAGTAATCTAGGGTTACTTGTCAAACAAAAAAAAGTAATCTACGGTTTATAGAATCCCATCGCTTTATTCCGTGTTTGTAAACTTCAAAAATGATTATGTAGTAGAATTTTATTGCTAAGCCGCAAAACAAATTAAATTTCAACATTGCATAAAAATCATCTAATTGAGCATATAAACATAAAACAAGCCAATTAGACGAGTGCGCGAGCGTGTCTTGCCTATATACTATAAGATAAATATATATATATATATATATATAGATAGATATAGATATAGTAAGGAAACTGTGGTATATTCCGAGAAAATTTTCCCAGATTCAGGTATGTTATTATTATTCTTTTATTAACCTAAACTTTCTCGGCAACCAAACGGAATTTCATATTTACCTGAGTATCAATGCCGACATGGGTGAACTGAGGGACGTCAAGAAGAAGAAGAGTAGCACTGTGCTTTACAAAGTCTAGGGCTGTTTCTGGATCCATCTCAGATCTTCAACTGAGTAGTGAGGGATCTTCAACTGAGTAGTAGAGTGGGTAGGGTTTTGGGTTTTAATCAAAGTTCGCTTAAAAATGTTTTTTTTTTTTTTTCCTGTTTTAGGAGAAGAAAACAAACTAATCAAAGCTTGCTGGCTGTTTGGACTTTGGAGTTCGTTTCGCGTCGAGTCGAGAAGGATCACGGACCCTATTCTCCTGTACACTTTTGTCTTGTAATAATTTTTCTTATTTTAATTTTGGGCAAATTACAACCCTCGTGTTTTTAACTTATACAAGTAGATAGAAGATGACCACAATATAACATAGAAACTCAAATTAACTATTTGTGATTAGTGAATTGATATAAATTTATATTTTTGTCCTTAGAGTTAAACTATTTGTTTAATAAAAAAATCTAAAAAAAATTTATGTATTGTTAAAGTTAAGATTTGCCCTTAAGACTCCATCACAGCCGACACAGACCAAATTGCAAAAACCACAAAATTATCTGCAACAAAACTAATCACAGACCCAAATCCAACCACAAAGCCATAAATCATTCTAACATCATCACAGTCGAGTCCTCTGTTCCAAGCTCACTGCTCCGTCACCGCCATCACCACACAACTCTCCACCGTCCGAGCTCAACCTCGCTCATCGCATCCAAGCTCACCGCCGCCTCCATCACAGTCGACATCTGCCACAGCCAAGCTCATCCCATCCTAGCTCGTCGCCTCCTCTATCACAATCGACATCCTCCACGGCCGAGCCCATCAAAGCCAAGCTCGCGCGCCGCCTCCATTGAAGCAAAGCTCGTCGCCTTCATCCTCGAGCTCACAGCCAAAGTCGCAACCAACCCATCGCCGTCACAGCCAGCCCATATCCACATCGGCGTGCACAAGCTACCGTCGCCAAAGCCGGATCCTTCTCGCCACGCACTTCCACAGTTCATCTACAGTCGCAGCCGCCGCGAGTCATTCACGATAATTCAATTTTACCGCTGTTCCGAGCCATCGCTGCATTTCACTGCTAAGAGTCATTTTGCTCGGTGGTGTTGTCGTTGTTCGTCGCCGTGTGGTCGACCTGCCCACCACCATCTATACCCGACAGGGGCATTGAACATGCCTGGGCAACAGAAACACACCCGTCTGAAAAAGACCCACCTGAACAAGGGGCGAATCGTACCGGAACATGGATGATTTCCTGGCAACTTGCCTCGGCGTCGTCCCAACTTCTTCATCTCCTTGGAAATGTTTAGAGAGAGAAAAGAGGAGTGATGTGGTAGGGAAGCGATAGGGGGCAAAAATGAAACTTCCTAATATATAATATCTTTTATTTTTTTCATTAAAAATAAATACTTTAATTTTAAGGTCAAAATTGTCAATTTATATTATTTTTTGTGGTCAAATGGTCAATATGGACCTTTCTATAATATTGCTATAACTTCTATCTACATGCACAATATAAAAATCTCGTGGGTGGTTTATATAATTTGCCCTTTAATTTTGAGACAATGGCAGTATGTGTGACAGTGTCTCGCAGTCTCAGTAATAAAATTTGGATAAATTATTATATGGCACGAGAATATATGATTTCATTTTAGCTATAATTTGGCCACATAATGGGTTTTTCCGTCAATCCAGAGATATTCACCGCGAAATTCAAATATTATTATATCAATACAATAGTGGGTTAAAATCATAAAATACCATGTTATTATTTTAAAACAGTCATATAACTCACTATATTTAAAACAAGTATCCAAAAACTTCACTAGCTTTTAAAAATTCATCAAGTCACCGGATTTCATTTGTTTGACGTCAAAAAGTAAAAAGAAAGACAACATTTTTGTTTTATATGACCAAAATGTCCTTTTAACCTCTTAATGATCAAAGTGTTCTTTTAACGATTAACATCGTTAAACCCCCTATATTATTAAATTTGATCACATAAACCCTTATATTAACAGAGAAGTAACAAAAATGATTATTTTATCCCATTCTCAAACATTTTCTTAAGACAATGTTTATTATATTAATCTCTATTGCTAAATCTTGGGAGTATTGAAAGAAAAAAAAACTAAGATATTATGAGTGTACGATGGCAAAAAATACCAACAACAATAATGAGGTGATATATGGTTATATTTTCAATTGTAAATGAAAAATTCAATGATATTATACATGTTAATATTTTCAATTATAAATTAATTTTTTTATAACTACTCATTGTATAAATTACTAAAATACTTCTTCATTATGATCATTATAATCGTGTTTTGTTAAACCTTAGTGACATTTATTTAATTGAGTTTAAAAAATGAAATCCATCAAGGTAAAAATGATATATCTTTGCCAAAGTGAATTAAAGTATTAAAAAAAATATTTCAAAAATTAAAATTATTGAAAATTTGAAACAATTGCTAAAGTAAAATATATTTTCTTTGTTATATTAGTTTTTCATATATTTAGTTAGGTTGCACTTTTCTCGTTTTTAAATTATATTATTTCAAGATATATGTATACGCGTACTAAAATTAACATTATATAGACAATTATATTACAATTATTCATAAAAGTTAAAAATTTTAAGAGCAAATTTCTCAAAACCTCCAAAATTATTAAAAAGTGATCATAAAATCCCAACCAGTTTTAAAAACCCCCCAACAATATAGGAACGTTATCATTTTCCCCCAACTCTGGCAATTGGCCCCGTTAACCCAGCGCGTGGTTAACAAATGCTTTGACAAATTGACTTTTGTGACGAAAATACCCCTGCTGTCACATGTGCCAAACAAGTGATGTGTATTTAAATATGTTATACCGAAAATACCCCCAAGCTTGTAATAGTAAAAACACATCCACAGTGTCATTGTTTTAGTTCATCTTCCATCTTCCATTAGTCTAGGATGAGGTAGCTAGTTATAGGTTCGGTCATGGGTTTAGGATGTCCACGAAACCCATTTCAGTCTGGTGCATTT